CAGGAGTTGACTTTTTTGACAAAAGGTCACATCTGTGAGCAAAATCTGATAAGATGATAACTGAGGTATTTGGGCAGTTTTAAACTGTTTGAGGGCCTCAACTTTGATTTTTGGTCAGATCCCATCTTTTTATACTAATGGTTCATATTCATGTATGGCATCTATCCACCGTCAGTGTGAAGACTGTTGAGGCCCTAAACTGCCACACTTGTGCAGATTTAACTGAAATGTGAGTCAAATGTGTACAAGAATAACAATACCACCATTTGTTCAACAGTCAATTTGCACACTTGTCTCAAAAAATGCTCAGATGCAACATATTCCCTCCAGTTTGGTTTGATTAGAAGCTTATGCATAAATGTCCACCAATTCAGTTGAATTTGTATGGCACCAAATCACAACAAAAATCTTCACAGGGGACTTGTGTAGTGAGTTCTAGACATTATTAGTATTTTATTATTATTATTATTATCGGATCCTCCTTGAGCAAGCATTTGGTGACAGGAGGGAGGAAAATTTCCCTTTAATGGAGTGTTAGGTATTTTTAGTCAGATAGAAATTGGATAGATACTTTATGTATTAGAAATGTTTAGTGGAGATAGGATGTCTAGTTAGACTGTTAAATGCTTAGTCATGCTCATGAGTTTCTACAGGGTACATCTGGTCAAGGCTATCAGTGAGAAGAGTTGATGACTGTCAGCAGACAGGGTGTTTAATATTATTATTATGACGTGTAGAACTGTAGCCTTAGCCATAATATGTTCTTATGTTTAATATCACGACATGTTACTAGAAGTCTGTGAGAATGTTTTTAGTTACACACCACTTAACCAACAGACACACACACACACATTGATTTGCTTCATGTTTTGACTACTGCTATGACCAGCTGCAAAGCTGGTAACAGAGACGTCTCGGTTGACGTTTCTGTGTAGTATGGGGCTAGCCCAACCGAGGGGATATAATGTATAGGCCTGGTGGGTTCAGGGTCTTTCATCTTACATCTGCCTGTGAGCAGTTTGGAGGTGCAAGATACCTGAGCGTGTAATGTTAATTTTACCTGTGATCCTTTGAATAAATCAGCACTGTTTTGTAGTTACTTGGACTGTCTCGTCTCTTAGAGTTAGCAATGGTAACAAGAACCAGAGTCCAGCAGAGGATACCTCTGACACATCCAGAAGTGATCTCGTCTCTCTGCTGACCCTTGTAGGATATGGTTCTTGTTACCATTGCTAACTCTGAGAGACGAGACAGTCCAAGTAACTACAAAACAGTGCTGATTTATTCAAAGGATCACAGGTAAAATTAACATTACACGCTCAGGTATCTTGCACCTCCAAACTGCTCGCAGGCAGATGTAAGATGAAAGACCCTGAACCCACCAGGCCTATACATTATATCCC